TGATTTTCATTTAACGTCTAAAAATCAATAGTATCTGTCATATTTTCTTTCAATATAATGCTATTAGATGCCAGTTGTACAAAAGGTATATTTAGAGAAGCCCAGAGATTTATAGCCTTAGAAAGCACAAGACTGCCAAATCTTTGTATAATTACTTTTGCTAGCTTAGAAATTGTCTGATTATAGTAAATAAAAAGATATAGTAAAAAAAAGTTAATTAATTAAATAAGATAATATAGTGTGATAAAAATATCTTAAATATTAAACATTCGTGAATTATATAGTACTCACAAAATAACTAACTTAGTAGATAATAGCATCTAAAAGCGTTTACCAAATTAAGAAATAGAATATTAGAATACAGTGATAAAAAGTATAAATTTGAAAATCTTTGGGTTTTTGAACCTATTTAATATAAGAAGTTATATAAAATTAATCAGAGTATTGTTAGCTATTTATGAATTCAAATAGTCTTTTTACTTAACAAGTTAATGCGAATATATAAAAAGCAGGATTTTGTTTATGCGACAAAAAATTCTAGATAGTTTTTTAAAACTCACACAAATTCATTAATAATAATACGACAGAGTGAAATCTGCGCTATGAATTAGTAAAATCTGCTACATAGATCACATGAGGGTGAAATTCACTTTTGCAAAATAAAAAATATAGCTAAATGCAGATTTTACCCTAACATAATCTATATAGTGAATTTTACTAATTACAATGTAGGTTTTACCCAGTTCTATAATAATAATAATAAAAAAGTCAGTTAAAATATAAAAAATATAAGTGTTGTGTTATGTTAAACAATATAATTTGTGTATAATTTTGTGTATCTGAAAGAAACATGATTAACATGAGTGACCTATTAATATAAATAAATTTGCAACGATTAGTATAGTAATGCTAAAAACATAAACTGAAACAAAAAGATATATATATAAGATACACGTTCAAAGTATAGTAGTAATTTAGTAATAAATCAATAGCTAAATATGAATAACAAAAGTAGTAATTGTAAAACAATTCAAAAAAAGAAAAAAAGAGAAAACGAACTATTTCAACAACATGAAGCACGTCTTGCACGTGATCGTGAAAAAAAGTAATAAAAAAAAGCAGTAGAATCTATTGAGAAAAGGGAAGCACGGCTGAGTAGGAACTATGAATGAAAAAAAAAAAAAGCCTATGGTATTATGAAGTGATAAACGAACTGTAGCTACAAATAGTGAAATTGCAAATGTTAGAGTGATGAATGCTAATGGTACTATTGCGAATGTTGCCACTATAAATATAGAAAGTAATAATGTTTCAACTACAAAATTTGAAGCAACATCAGCCCCAATCCTTAATGAAGATAATCTAAATGCTTAAAGAAGTTTCACAATAAAATAAATGAGCTAAAATATATTTATTGTCTGATGTGCAATGAATACTTTTTATCCATTATGCTTGTAAAGAAAAAATATCGTCATTGTTATATTGAAAAGACAGAATCCAAAAAATTCTTAATAGAAAATAATATGAACCCAGGTGAGGTTTCTGAGAAACTTAGAGATTTCACAAAGATTGAAGAAATATTAATTTCGCAGGTTTTTACTGTGATGTCTGTATATCAACTTCATAGAAGACAATATAGATATAGAGGTAATATAATAAACCTTTCTCAAAATATTCAAGAGTTTACTAATCAGCTTCCCAAAAATCTGGCAACATTAGACATATTGGTTGTGCGTAGAAAGTTCGCAAATGATTATACAGCATTTAAAGACTTTAACGTATATCACTCTAAAGTTGTTTGTGCATTGTATTAGTTGAAAGACAACAATCGTTACTATAGTAATATTGTTATTGATGAAGAAGTAATTTCGTCTTTATCTGAAAATAGACATATTGATGATAGGATTCTACAGCTTCAAACTAATGAAAACTCAAATAATGAGAATCAAAACGATGGCATTGTAAGCACTTTTGTACCATTTTTTCTTTTAGTACAATGTGAGATTATTGCGATTAATAATGCTATTAAGCATGTATATACTGAAAATCCTATAGCAGATTGGTCACAAATTGATAACAATCCTGTCAACAAATTTAAACACTAGGTTATATTGCATAAGCATTTCCAACTCTTTATCTATATAGTAATGCAGATCTTTGATCAGAACATATTAAAGAAGTTAAACCAGCTAAATATTTTAAACACTTACTTTTATACAAAAACAGAAGATTCATATGCTATACTCGTTGCCGATACTTTGTGTTGAACTCTCAGATACATTAGAGAGTATTACAAGAGAGAAGCGTGTTCGTTAGACAAAATTTGAGTAATAGGCAGCTTACAATAAAAGAGATACAAACCAGAATTGCTGAAGGTGATAAAAATATGTCTAATAGAATCATGCGATATGGGAAAGCTTATGTGGGTCATAACAATTTTGGATAGCACGGTGTTGTGAACTATCTGATATGATCAAGCAGATAGGTTTTCAGGGCTAATATTTTTTACATTTAGTGCTACTAATCTACATTGGCCAGAGCTTCATGAGCTCATATGATTAAGCGGAAACTATAGGGAGAAAATTAATTCTGCAGAACAATGAAACAAGAATGTTATTAATAACCCTCATATCATTAGTTGGTTTTTCAACAAGCGATTCAAATTTTTTTTTGAAAATATGTTAAAACCATTGTAGGATTTAGAAGATGGTAGTACGGATTTGAATAGCAGCATCGTGGTAGTATTCATGTGCATAGAATAGAAAAAAAAGAAATATGTTTATAATCAAATGGAAGTATATGAAAGAAGATAAGAACATAATGAAAAATATCGTAGAATATCTAAATAACTTGATTACTACAATCAACCCAGGACTTAATGCTGCTGTACTAAACTATCATCCATATCAAAAACATCACAATGAGATAAATGACGATTTGCAAAATTACATTAATCTTATTAATAAATTATAACGATACACGCGATGTAGCTCTTTGTATTGCCTTCGGATTAATAAAGCAGGTCAACAATTTTGTAGATATAGATATCTCAAGGAAAATTGTGAAAAGACTTATGTTTGAGAAGATAGGCAGAGCTTGTAACTGAAAGAAATGATCTATTTATTAATCTATATTGCAGAATTCAACTGCAAGGTTGGAGAGCAAATGTGGATTTAAAACCAGTACTTAGTCTTCATGCGGCTTTACAATACATATCCAAGTATACAAGTAAAGCAGAGCCACGGTCTACAGTATTCTCAGAGATATTAAATCAAATTCTTTGTAATAGTAGACCTGATGATTTATTACTTGGTGCAATTTAAAGATTACTACTGCATAGCGTTGCAGAGCAAAATATCTCAACACAAAAAACTTGTTATATTCTCCTTGAGATTCCACTTTATCATTCAAGCCGTTCATATATTTTTTTAAATCTCAATATAGAAATACCTAGATAGCTTTGTGGGACTGGTAACAATATGATTAATGATATTGGATTAACTTCACGTTCGTTATTATAAATATATTATGAGCAACCTAGTGAATAATTGGTGGAAGATAAGCGAAAGTGAAAATATCATACATATTTGGCCACGGCCATCATCCCTGCACAATGGTCCTCAATGGGAGGAATTTTGTAAAATGAAAGTTATTTTTCATATTTGTCACCGCGATTTTGATCAATTAACAGAAAATAGTATCATTTTATGAGCAAACTTATACAAGCGATATCTCGAAGAAATTAATAATGACCCAGTAGATTTACTTGGTTCTTCTGTAGAAAATGATGAAGTCAATTTAATTGAGAAAGAGAATGAAGATGAACAGATTGAAGATAATAAACAGGAAGAGTTATATCATGAACGGATACTTTTAGCAGAAATAGATCCTAATGCAAATATAGTAAATTCATCAGAACTGGGATCTCGTATGATGGATATAAATTATGATTGGTATAGTAAAACTATGAAATGCTACTCAGATTCTGAAATTAGAAATGCAGAAACTTTTGTGCAACTGGCATCTAATAGCATTATATTGAAAGAAAATATGACAGATACTATTGATTTTTAGACGTTAAATGAAAATCA